ATTTAAAGATATAAATACCAAAACATGTTCAAAATCAAGGATTAGTTTTAAGTAACATATCTATTAATAATATAAATATTTCATTATTCTAAAATTGATAGTAAAAAAATAACTATGATGTTTTTCATTGCATTTAGATTTATTATAGATGTTAATTTCAAATATCTAAAAACTGTACATTAGAAAATGATGTAGATGAATTCTACTTTATCTTATGCTTCTAAGTATAAAAAAGATTGGTAAAGCAGGTGGAGAAGTCCATAGACTTGTACGAGAGTATGGGCTTTATTAAAGCCCAAAAGTATGACCCAACAACAAGAAATTAATAAAATCGTAATACCTTATGCAACTACATGCGAGCGACACCGTTCCAGTTGCGACCTCTATCGAATATCGAGTAAAAACGATTATTTGTGTCACTTCGGAATTTATACAACTTTTTTTTAACAACTATACGAATACGAGGTTGTTTATTCTCTTTTTTTTTTTACAAATTTTTTATTCTTTTATTTTTCTGTAACAATATATCTGAATGTATAAGGTTTTATCTTATCATCTATAGTGTTGGAATTTTAGACCATCAAAATAATATCGATGGGGCCAGTCGTTCGTGGTACATATTACGACTAGTATCTTTCGTTGGACCCATTCTTTGATTTTGTTAGTACAGTGCACCATTTTCTCCAAAATCTAATTAAATATTTACGTACACATAACATAACAAAAATTATCTTAGATATTTTCTTTAATATGTTTACGTAACTCTAACGACACGTATATTAAGAACAAAGACAACATGTTTTATAACTTTCTATCGCTTACGTCCACTTTGTATATTTTCCTATAACCGCTGGATTTGTTTTTGAATAAAATAAGTTTTAAATGTGGAGATTGATTTGTGTGAAGCATAATATGTGCCAAGTTTCGTTATTATTTTTTTTCACAAAGTGAAAGGGAATCTAGAAACATTATAATTTCAGTGGAGTTTACTTTAAGAACAAAAAAGTGTGTTGTATATAGGTTAATTAGAACCTGACCTTCAACTTCATTACTATTTCCCGATATTAGAATCGAACACCATTAGTCACGAATCATGATAATAGCGTCAATACATGCATAGCAGGAGTGTTTTTAATTTGAACCATGTGACATGTGGGACAAGTTAGCTGGATATATAGTCTTTTATTTAGCCACGTGGTCAATGGGCACAAACACAGCTGCGAGTAGGATGGTGGATCCCATAGATATCTGAGAATGGACGGCTAGAATTGAGTGGAAAGAGTAGAGTGCACCTGAGATTAGGTGGACTAAAAAGCAGAGGATTTCGATGGACGTCGTTACTTGCGGCTACCGGACGCAACTAACGGACCTGATGCTTACCCTACCATTCTC